AACCCACTTACTTTAAGTGCACTTATCTGTAAATACCTTATTCCTGAAAAAGTATACTGCCTACATAGATGTATCATAGTGCTTCAATTTTTGAAACTGGAAGGCAAATGAGCTACCCTCCTTGGGGACCATTTTGCAAAAGTACGTGCAGTAGGTGCAATCTGGTCCACTCAGTCAAAAAACAAAAGCATTTTCTAAATGCCTATCTGTGAACCCCAGGGATGAGCTGTCTCTGGCAGCAAGGATTAGGTATTCAGAGATGACAGAGAAATCGCCTCCCTCTTTCTTCGACTCACAAGTGCGGAGCTTTGACTCCATCACAGGATGTGCTGGAGACTGCATGAAAAGCCCATGAAAAGCAGAATCATCCAGAGCAGCACTTCTCAAACGAGGGCTTTAACCCCTGAAAAGGGTTAAAGCCAGGACGGATGAGTGTGAGGTCACTTGCCCAAGTTGCAAGAGAAGATGGCTGTCTTGGCAGTGGGCCAACTGAGAAAGGCAGAGCTTAGTCTTTCTGAGGGTAATACCATTGCTAGTAGGTCACAAGTAATCTGGAAAGGCTTCTGCTGAAAGCTGAAAACAGGACAGCATCCAGCCTGTGAAGACTGCAGTCTGTCATGGAGTCCATGAGAGACTCCATCTCTCATGGAGACCTTGTGTCTGGGCTGAGGGAGCGGTGTGTGACTCCTCACAGATGTCCCATTTCAGTGTCTTCTGCAGTGAAGGAAGAAAGTTGTTCCACCCTGTCCCATGCCGTAGTGGTTTTGAGATGAGCATCGCTTCCGAGAACCTGGAATACTGTTTTCTTTTTGTTTACCAGTGATGGTTGGTCTATGCCTCTAGCCTGACTGCATGATGATGTGAATCATTTGATTTGGACCATAATGCAACACCATCTCTTGCCAGGGATAAAATGTGATCCTATCAGATTTGATGACACATGCTGTTGTTCTCATTCATTGCCCCATAGATCTTAAAACAATCCTTCCCCATAAGTAAGGAGGATGTAAGGACATTCCCTCCTCACACTTCTTTTTGCTTTCAATATCTTGTCCTGCATCACTCCCTGCTCATGACCTCTGGCTCTAGACCAGGTTTGCAGGCACTCCCCGTAAGAGAGGGCGTCAGTGTCTTAGGTCCCAAGCACAAAAATATAAGACAGATACCGTGGCACCTGCCAGTGTACCCCAGGATCTTCAAAGGTAAAAGTATAAATGTGTCCCGCTCTTTGAAGGCATTTGAGCCAGACAAATCCATAGGAAGAAGTGCTGCACAGACATACTGTATAGGCTGCCACATATTGACTCCAAGGCACGGATTGGCCTGGAAACCATGGTGCAGAAAACTAACAAGCAGAGGCCAGCCCTTCACCCACATCCCCCTTCCCTTCCACGCTTTTAAGCCATGATGTTTTGGCCTGAGCTAGGCAGAGTTTGTAACACGGGCCCTTGGAGGATCACAGTGTGTATGACACAGACCAGACTGGGCGATGGCAAGAGGCAGAAGAGCCTTGCTGGAGATGCCAGCCAAGGGTACAGTCCGTTCTGTTTCATGAGCTTTAAAATTTTGGGGTCACTATACACAATTCTTGTATATGTTCCATTGGCCTGCTCGAAAGGCTTGTGACAGCCAGTACGTACACCCTGTCCTAAAGCACAGAACTCAGGCATTCAATTTAGTATGCTGCTCAGGTGACTGAATTACCAGCGTTTTACAAAATAGCTTGTTCAGGAACAAATTATATATGTGTCACTGCTCTCTGCAATAAATGTAGAAAGTTTTATAGTGCATTTGATAAAAACTCGACTTTTTTTTTTCTATCATTTAACTAAAATTTTATGTTCATGATTGCTTTCTACAACACACTGTGCAAATGGGAAAGAAATATGAGGAAAATTACATCGCTAGCCGGAAAAAAAAAAAATAAATAAAACGTGCTGGAAGTAAAACAGATGGTTGGCACCTGGTGGTTCTGCATAGCCCTGGGTGACAGTTAAGCTGTTCCTATGCTTGGGGAAGGAAAAAAGGGAAGGGAAACATGTCTGTATCACTGTTGCACTTGTGCTATTCTAGGGCTCTTGCTGTCGTGGGGTCTGTGGTTACTAGCTGTGCCTAAACTGAAGGTTAGTCCTAGTTCCTCAGCTGTCCACATCCCCCAACGCTGCACTCTTCCCACAGCCCAGAGGATGTCGTGCACGTAGGCCAGATCACCACCATCACCGACGCTAGGGGATCAGGACCCCCGAGCACAGCACGGCACTTCCCACCTCCCAAGCAAAGCCAGAGCACGACAGCAGCCTCTGCTGCTCTGTCTTGCGGTCAGCTTCTCAGGAGTGCCGAGAAGTGGAAAGCAATCGCAGCATGGTCACTCCACCTTATTTCCATGCTCTCCCTGCTTCTGAAACACAACTGATGCTGACCCGTGCAAGGCACCGCATTACATACTGCTCCCTGCGCAGAGGCTCCTTTGCAAAGAAGGTTTGTGACCTCTCCAAACAACTTTGTTGCAGTACTGTCTCCAGTGGTCTAGATCTCTGTAACACTTTATGGCCACATACAGTCTGAGAAATAGGTTGTCAGAGTTGTCAGTCAGCTACAATTCATCTTTCCCACAAAGCTATTGAATGTGACAGTAAACACTCATCTTCAGCTAAGCCCGGTTTGAAAAATGACTTGAGGGCAAGTTGTTGAAAAACAGACAGGCTGTTTCAAACGGGAACAGCGAGGCCAGTGCCTGTGCTGACTTGCCTTAGGTTCAGATACAAGGTCACATAGTAGGAGAAACTAGGAAAAAAACCAGCATATACTGTATAATGGGATAATTTTAATAACAAAATCACTCATTTTCATCTCTGATTCATGGAGGTTCAGCCAACCTGGCACCTAACCTCCTCCTTCCACAGGTTGTCTTTGGCTTGCCCTGTTACTTGGTGATGTGTATACCACATATAGGAAGTTAACTTTTGTGGTCATCTCCCCAGTAAATACTACATTGAACAAAGCAAGGGAAGGACAGGAGCCAGCACCGCTTTTCTCACCAGTGCTGTCCTGGAAAACTCCCTGGTTCCAATCAACCTGCACAGAAGCTGCAAGAGAGATCCAGATCAAGGAGTGATACAGTAAGATCTGATACAGAGCTCCTATGCCAGAAGCATGACCTTGCGTGCCGTGACAGTAGGTTGGAAGGATAAGGCACTACCATCAAAAAGCATAACTACAGGAAGGATATCGAGACCACTGGTACAGAAGTGGCTCTTCTCTTGTGTTGTATGCATAATGACTGTGATTCCTCTGCATTTTGCAACAGCTCTGCTACTTCAAAGGTCCATGAGCAACAACAGTGTTCAAAATTCATCACCTTCACCATCTAATGCTGGTTTTTCAGCATACAAAATGTCACTACATGGATTACATGTCAGATTTTTGAAGGTCATTTCCAACATCTCATTTCAGGAACACCCACTATTTACTTATTTTCTAAGCACTCAGCACTTAACACATAGTCAAATTATTTCCATGTAACCATACAAAAATGAGCCCCTCTGGCCAGACTTCTGCAGGTAATATTGCAAGCATATATGAACAAGTGCTATAACCTGACTATCATGCTTGTAGTAGCATTCCTGTGATACTCGAGAAAGACTTTATCAAGTCTGTGCAGTATGTTTTAAGCAGCTTATCAGAGGCACTAGCCTAAAAGCATCCTCAAACAGACATGACAAAAAATGTTGCTATGTTTATAGTTCATGTACTTAACTGCAAGAACTGCATAAATGACTTACAACCTTTTTAATACTATAGCAAGCAGTTGATTTACCACATCTTTAGATCAGCATCCCAGAACTTCTCCCTCCTAGGTCTGCAAGTGTCCTTGAAACACTCGGCCACTGAACATCTGTTTTGCGTAAGTTTTAAGTCTACCTGGTATTTCTTGACATGAACTTTCCATATTTAATAGAATTTCCAAACTCACAGAAGAATTCTTGTCAGAGTGCTTCTAAGTGAAGAACTCGGAAGCAGGCACCTGTAAGATGTTAGCAAAGCATCAAAATTTAAAAAGTGAATTGCTCCTTTAATCTCTTTCAAAAGAGCTAATCCTACTTCAGAGTCCAGCTATGCTAGGCTGTATACTCTGCAAGGTTCAGGAATGCGAAGAGTAACCCAGAAGCACCATGAAAATTATTTCATTTACAATAAAAATGCTTAGGAAATCCATTAATTTTGGGGGTAATACTGTCAGAAAAGATGCACAAGACCTCACCCGCTCTGCCTCTGTTTTTCATTCTCTGTTTAAGAGAGAAAAACATCCGCTGCAATGCCAGACTCTTTCCTCTCCCAATAGAGCACAGGATTGTCTAGAATTTGCTTTATTTTTCCGTTCCCAAAGACTATTCATATGAATCATTTACTTTAGTGACTAGAAAAACTAGATAACTACGGACACACGACTTTGGAAACAACTTCTCACCAATCGGAGTACTTAAAAGTGTTCTGATTAACAGCATTTTGTTCAAATAAGATGCTTTTAATTATGGTTTTAATTGATTATTGATACTTAACTACAGCTGTTTGCAGGGAAAACGTTCTGTATGAATAATTAATTATATGATATGTTAAAAAAACCCAGGCATATCTGTTTCCACTGTGCAGTTTATTCAGTTTCAAATTAGAAAAAAATTACTAAGTATTTGACAATTCACATGCATAAACTCAAACATTTCAGCCCCAAAAAGTATTGATCTCTTTCAGTCTTGTATTAAGGCGTTCAGGAATTTCACCTAGGCAGACAAATATCTGGATTTTTTTAAAAAAGAACCAAAACAGAGAGACAAGCTATAACTCAGTTTTACTTCTGTTAACAAATACGACCAAAGTGAGTCCTGGTAGTACACAGTTGCATTCTTTATCTTTTCAGTTGTGTATAGCTGATAGGAGGCAAAGTGATTGGGA